CGTCGGCCATCTTGTGCTGCCTCCCGCTGCCCGCGCGAAGGGGGCGCGAGGACTCCGTCCGTTGCCGCGTGGCCGCGCGACTCCCGCCCTGCCCGGGCCTGTTCCCCGGGCGAAGTCTGGGAGAGCAGCTTCCGGCACGCGGAACGTGGGTCCAGAACCCTACCCTAAGCTCGGGGCGGGCCGCCCCCTCCGCGCCTTCCTTCCCCGAGGTCCTGGCTCGCTCCGCGGCCGCGTGGACGTTTAGGATGAGTTGGAAAGTCGGGGAGGAATGGAGCAAACAAACTGTTAAAGGAACATTTTGTGCTTAGTGACTAAGTCTCATCTAGTCCGGGTGGTGGCAAAAGAGGCTTTAGTGGTTCCCCTTTGTGCAAACGAAGCCGAGTTCCCCAGCGATCAGCCCCAGCCCAGCAGCGTTGTGGGCCGGAGATTCGAACCTTTGGCCATCCAGTCCTGCAAGTCAAGGAAGCCTGAGTGGCCAGTCCCCAGTGCCAGGCATCCTGGTCAGGCACTGACTGTATCCAGGGCCCAACTGAGGAGACATTAAAAATTAATTATCACCTTAGAACTGAAATTTAACATTAAATAAGAGAAAGGTACGGAAGTAAAACAGTGATGACTCACATTTGCTTGGTGATGCAGCAGTAATATATATATGCTCCGGAGACCTCAAACCTCCATAGACAATATGAAATGTTCACATCTTTGAAAATCATGTATTCATGTAATACTAGCACTTGGGAGGCAGAGGCAGTAGGATCGCTGTGAGTTCGAGGTCAGGCTGAACTAAATAGCAAGACCCTATCTCAAAAAAACAAAAAAATTTTAAAATATCGTGTATTAGAAACAAAGGTTGAAGCGGGGCATGGTGGCACATACCTGTAATCCCAGCACTTGGGAGGCTGAGGCAGAGGATTGCTGTGTGTTCGAGACCAGCCTGGGCTATGAAGTGAGCTCCAGGCCAGCCTAAACTACATAGCAAGACCTTGTCTCAAAAAATAAACAAACAGAAAGGTTGAGGCCAACTTGAGACACATTACAGTAGCAAGTACAAGCCCAGCCCTGGACTAACTAATGAGACCACGTTTCAAAAAAAAACAAAAAACCCTCCGAGGCTGGGGCTGTATGTAGGTCAGTGGTAGAGTGCTTGCCTAACATTCAGGAATCCTTGGGGTTTCCAGGACCACAAGGAAAAAAAATCATTAGCTATCGTTAGATTGTCACCGTAAAATCTTTTTCTTGGAATTTTTGGGATTTCAAGTTTTAATAGCTGTGACCCTAGAGAAGCAGAATACCTACCTCTCCAGTTTCTTCAGTTTATTGGGAAAAAGGAACTTCAAGGACTTACTATAATTTGCAAAAAGTCACTACTACATTAACACCACTGTTGAGTAAATGTGTGTCTGATCGCCTGAAGCTGTTTATCTTTGTTTTGTTTTTGTCATTGCTGGGAATCAAACCCAGGACCTCTCACACATGCTAGCTGTGCTTGTAAGCGCTCTATCACCAAGTTATATCACCACCCCTGAGATTCTACTCTAGCAGCTAAATCTTTTTTTATTATTATTAAGTTTATTGGTACATTTTAGGTATAAGTAATGATCACATTCATTATAGGGAATTTGTACCTGTACATGACATAACTTGATTCTTTTTTTCCCCTTTCCCTAACCTCCCTTCAACCCCTCCTCTGCTCCTTATTTACAAAAGCTTTTTACATTTTCCTTCTTTTCTCCTTATTTTTTCTTTTCTCTTCCTTTCCCTCTCCCCCTCCTTAGTTCCCCTTCCCATTTGAACATTTTCTTCCTATTTCAAAATTATACATTTTGGTCCTTATATATACTTTCAGTTTCTCATACCAGAGAAATAATACAATATTTACAGATGTGTGTTTGATGTATTTCACTTACGAATATGGTCTCAGGGCTGGGGTTTTGCTCAGCGGCACAGCACTTGCCTGGCAAGCAGGAGGTCATGAGTTCGATTCCTGGTACCAGAAAAACAAACAAACAAACAAAAAAAGAATATGGTCTCAGGGGCATCCATTTAGCTAGAAATGTCTCAAGTTTATTCTTTTTTTTTTTTTTTGGTTTTTTTCTGGTACCAGGAACTGAACTCATGACCTTGCGCTTGCCAGGCAGGCGCTTTTGCCGCTGAGCTAAATCCCCAGCCCCTCAAGTTTATTCTTTATGGCTGAGTAGTACTCCATTGTACAAGAAAAGCCCACATTTTCTTTATCCATTTGTCAGTTTGTTACAGATAACTAAGTTACGTAGAAATATAGTAGGTAGTCAGACAGGGCTGGGCCCTTGAGGGAGTCAGTATAGAAGTGAAAATCCATCAGGATTGTGGCTGGAGGTACATCTGAAGATTAAAGTCACAGTGGTTAGTTTTACATACTTCCCTAAGGGATGAATGGAGGCTTGGGATTATTGGCATTACCCTTTTGAGATTTTTCATTATCTCACTAGGGGTGAATCATCCTCTCCCACTCACTAAGACTATAAGATTAACACTGCTAAGACCAAAGACAAGACCAAGATTATGGATTATCAACCAAGGTTAAGGATGTCACTTATGTATCCTTGCTACCATTAGATCAATATTACCTAAATGACTATACTTGCAATTTTATTGGTTGATCATAAATTTGACCCACATTGTACTGACTCATGATTTTGCTCTATAAAACTTCCTTTGACAGGTGGGCTCATTGGCAACCCATATGCGACCCCTTCTGTCTCTCGGGAGCTATTCTTATTCCCCATTCCACATTCCTATTCCTCATTCCTTTTCTCCAATAAATTTCCCTACATTCAACCTCCATGGTTTCTTAGAATTCATTCTTCAACTTCAGGGAACATGAACTCTGTGT